AACAGGAATATATCTATTTGGGGAGAATCAAAGTAATTTTCCATTATCTGTGTTGGTACAAAAAGGCAGTTATTTTTATGGTACATATATTTAACCTTTATGATAAGCATATCTTCTAAGTGACTACTTAAGTAAAGAGATTTATTTAGCATTTTTAGGCCTTATAGTAATGCCATGTTTATAAATGATAGTGAAATCAACACCTATGTAAGTGAGGGGATAAATTCTATTTTATGTTTTATATCAGGCAGACTCCAGAAAAGTAGAAATGACATCTCTTACTCACCTCTATATTCTTAGCACTGAAATACAGTAGTGCTCAAAAAATATCTATCCAAGTTTAAATGTTTATTTATGGAAAAGAAAATGAGGTTGAGGGAAATAAAAAATAAGTATGAATCAAAATTAGGTTAAGACCTTAAGCATGGGATATGCTTAACAACTTGCTTCTAAAAGAGTAAAACATGGAAGGGTGGGGGGTGAAACATGGCAAACAAAGACCTTCAAGAGTGATCAAGATTATCATCAATTTTGTCATATTGTTAGGATGTACCCTTGGAGTAATGTGATGAGAATGGCACTTCACGTCTGTTGTCTTCCTCCCTAAAACCCATGACCCCAGTCTAATCTGGGAAACATTAGATAAATCTCAACTGAGGGACATTCTCTAAAATTTCTGACTAGTACTCCCCAAAACTGTCACAGCCATAAAAACAAGAAAAGTCTCAGAATTTGGAATTCTGGAACAGAAAAAGGACACTAGGGAAAAACTAGTGAAATCTGAATAAAGCGTGTAGTTTAGTGATTAGAAATGTGGCAATTGTTTCCTTAGTTATGACAAATGTACCATAGTAATATAAGAAGTTAACAATGAAAATGAAGTGTCTCTGAGTAAGGTATACTCATGTGTACTATCTTGCAACTTTTCTGTAAATGTAAAACTAATCTAAAGAAATTTATTTAAGTAAAAACAGTCTGAGTAAGGGAAATAAGGAATGAAACAAAATCCCTTGGAAGCAAATGATGATAAACATTCTTTTGGTTCCTTTACGTTTGGTGATAAGACAAAGCATTCTACTATAGTGGAAATAAAGTTATTAATAAAACACTACTGTAGGCATTGTATGTCTATAGTGTTAGTTATAAAGTTACATATGCCCAAAGCAAATGCCCTCTGAATTTTAGTTTCCCAAAGTATCATTCTTAGTCCTCAACATTTCATTTCATAACAATTCATAACATTAGCTGTCACTTCTGTATTGAATGGACTATCCCACATCTCTAATCTTTAGTCACTTAAAGGTCATATTCCCCTTGCTATCTCCCAGTCACCTTACACTCAACTAACTAAACTCACCGTCTTCTTGATGATGCTCTTCTTCCAAACCTCCCTCTCAAAGTTATTCATTTTTTCTTCAATTGATCTTTTTCCTATGCCTCTCCATCCCCAGTTAATAATTAGTAGTACACACTGCTATCAAATGAACCTTCCTCAAATAAGGATTTTATCATATTCCCAGGCTCAAATGCCATTTTTTTTTACTAAACCGTATTTACATTCAGAAATGATACTTTCAAGGCCATCCATAATTGCTTATGCTTTTGTACCCTTCACTTGTAAAGATCCTTCCATCCATCTCTCTACCTCATACCATGTCCTGCCTTTCCTTTATTCAGTATCACATATACACAAGAAAGTAAGATTCTTCTGGGTGGTCAAAGACTTTATAATCTCCTTGGAGTGATAAAACCTAAAAAGATGACTAACAAAGAACATAGGAATTTGTCTCATTCAAAGCTGTATCCTCAGCACCAATAACAGTGCCTGCCACATGGGAAGTGCTCAAAAAGTATTTATTAAGTGAAAACAAGGCAGTACATAAAGCACAGCCGAAAGAATTATATGCTATCTGAGAAGGTAAAGAATTTTCAGTTGGAGAGGTGAAGGCAGGTCTGTATTTCTGTGATTCTAAGGCCCTCAGGGCAGCCAAGACTCAAGCTTGAATATTTCTTCAGTTGTTAAGAGGATGTGTGCAGGTGCATATCCAACACAAAAATGTTACACTAGCAAAGGTAAGAAGTAAAATTGTTAAACAACACTGAAGTAGTCAATAAAGAACAGTTCCTGAAGGTGAGTGGAAGATAAGATGGGAGAAGACTGGGACCAAAGTTTGAAAAGTCCTGAGAAGAAATTTGGTATTCATGCTTGACATAAAGGGTGATACAATTCATGCTCGACATAAAAGTGATACAATTTCCAGGAAGATTAATCTAAGGGGAGTAACATGATTAGACTTTAGAAAGCAAGAGCCTTATTTCTTGAAGAAGCCTCCCTATCTAATCAAAACCCTTTAGGTTCCTTCTCCTTTTAAGCCTTACAGTACTTGCCTGCATTATACAATTTAACTCCTAACTACATCCTCTCACAATATAAATTCTTATTTTCATGGGTGTTAATCAAGTCTCTTCAACCAAAGAATAGGGATCACATCATAGACCTCAGCTTCTTATCTAAGAAATCAGCAAAGCATTGGGCCCTTGAAACTTTATTTCTGGAGGACTTTTTGCATTTCTGCAAAACCCAGTTACCAAAATGACAACAATCTAAATGCAACACACACAAAACGACAACAATCTAAAAGCAACACACAACACATATTGTGAGTAGCTAAGCTACCATAAGAACAAGAGTAAGTCCTGTTTGGATGGCACTTTTTAAGGTTTCATTCGATAGTCGGATCCCATAACTAATAGTGTTATCAGCATATGTTTTCAGTGCTTCCTGATTTATATAAGTATTTCATCACCTCATTTACTTTCTTTCTCAACCAAGCATTGCTTTCGGTGGTCAGCACATATACTAATTTCTCAATCACATTATCTTTTCTGCACTGAAGCCTCTCCAATCTTTTTATCTATTAACTTCATTGATTGAGAACTATTGTTATGGCATAATTAAATTCTAATAAATGGTGCTGCTGTAACTTCCCTACATAATTCTTTTACACATTCTAAATGTTTCCTGTGGTTTAGCACCCTTCAAGTAAAACTGATTCAAATAAAATGATGTTACAGAAATAATTCAAATCCACCAAAGCATTTACAAAATGAAACATCATGCATTAGTATCCAGGGATTACACCTAAATTCTAAAATTTGCCAAACTCCGGCGCCTGGGTGGCTCAGTTGGTTAAGCGACTGCCTTCAGCTCAGGTCATGATCCTGGAGTCCCAGTATCGAGTCCCACATCGGGCTCCCTGCTCAGCAGGGAGTCTGCTTCTCCCTCTGACCCTCTTCCCTCTCCTGCTCTCTATCTCTCATTCTCTCTCTAATAAATAAATAAAATCTTAAAATAAAATAAAATAAAATTTGCCAAACTCTCCAAAAGTTTGGATTTTTTTAAATCTTCAACCCTTGACCCTTTACTTCATATATTGTCAAAATTAAATTTCATTCCTTAAAATAAAATCTGTTCATGTTAACATTCATATTAACCATTAAAACTTTCCCAAAAAGAGCTTAAGAAAGTGCACACACACAAATCAAACGGGTGTTTACTTCATCCCTAAACAAGTATTTTCATCCATAATGTATTATGGACTGTTCAGCTTTTTCCACTTCCTCATCTTTGAAAACACCAAAATAAATGTGGATGCGAGGCTACAGCACCATTACAAAGCCCCTGGTACCAGTGAAGCCTCAGACCTAGTGGCGCTAAGGCACTCTATTACCCTCAACCGGCCACGTGGCTGTCACAATCAGAAGGAAGACAGGAGAAACAGCACAAACTAACCTGGAAACAAATAACCTCCCACTTCCCTCCACCCCGGAGTTGGCGTAGAAAAAAAGACTGTGCTGTTTCTTTGCACTCTAAGACTTTTTTCTCTTAAGGTGAAAACGAAGTACAGGGGCTGCTTTAAAGAGACAGAAGTCAGGTCCAAGATGATCCCGGGAGTGCACCCCACTGAATTCGCTACGCTCACTCCCGCAAGCTGAGGTGGGAACAGAGGCACTTTGCAAAGGGGTAAAAGAAGTGGAGTTGAGTAAGAGTGGAGGATGGAGGGCTACGCACAGGGGCCGGGTTTCCCCTGACTCCCACCGTCCTCCCGGGTTTCAGACTCGCTGCTGCTACGGTGGGGCGAACCCAGCAGGCGGAGGGCCTCGCATGCGCCCTCACGACCTCTCACCCTCCCAGACACAAGACAGAAGGGCAGAAGTAACCACGGGCCCAAGAGAGGCGACGAACAGGAAGTGTCCATACTGCAGCGCAGAAAAACCCTAACTCGCACCCCACCAAGACAGCCACCCGGCGAGGCCCCCAGGGCGCCCGCTGGAGGAGGGGCCAGAGGGTGCCGGGGTCGGCCACCCCCACATCCGGACCCACCCCTGTCCCCCGGCATCGCCCGGCAGCCCCGCGGCTTGAAGTTCACTCCAGGCAGCATTCGGTGCCTCCCCGGGCACTACTTGGCGGGGCCCAGCCAGGCCGCCTGGGGCCGGACCAGAACTCCACGCCCGGCACGTCTCGCTCCACTTCCAGGCGGGGGAGGGAGTGCTGCACACACACCCGAGGGGCTTGGGGCACTTCCTCTAACAGCAGATTCGCCCTGAGTCGAGCCCTAAGCGTCCTCCGGGCCACCTCCGAGCCTTATCCGGAGAGCCGGCACCCCTCGCCGCGGATTACGCCGCGCGGCACCCGCTCCGGGGCAGTCATTACCTCTCACGAAAAACTCCTAACTCCTCACGGGGCCACGCTCCCCTTAGTTCGACACCCCCCGGGAGCCCACTCAGGACCCAAGCCGCGCGCAGGGGAGACCCCGGTGCCGGCACCAATTCCTCACAGGACAAAAATGTCCGGGCGCGTCACGGGACAGCCGCCTCCGCGCCCCACGCCGGCCGCACGCGCTGCCTCCGCTCCCGGGAGCTGCGCCGCGGGCCAGGGCGGAGAGCGCGGCCGCCCGGCGGCGCCGGCCCAGGAGGGCGCCACTCCGCACGGGACTCACCGTCGGCTCGGCCGCCTCAGCGGGGAGGCGAGGGACGGGCAGGGGAAGACACAATATGGCAGAGCACCACAGCTGCTCCCGGCGGCTTCCAGCAGCCGCCTCAGGGAAGACGCGGCAAAGAGCAGGCAGCGGCAGCTGCGGTGGCGGCCGCGGCAGCACCACATCCCCCTCTCGCTCGCTTCCTCCCCCTCCCTGCACCCTCCCTCGCTGTCATGGCAACGCGGCGCCAAGGATATTAGCCCCGCCCCTCCCTCTGGTCTCCGCCTCTCGCGACCCCTTCGGAGGGGGCTCGGTCCGCCCCTCGGTGTCCCCTCCCACCTCCTACCTAAGGGCCGGCCAGGGACCGCGCCAGCTGCTCTGAACTGCTGGTGGGAAGGAAGGGAGATGCAAGTGTCCGGAAGGGCGGGGTTCGCACGGAAGGCAGGGCGGAGACGTTGTGGGCCAGTGCGGGTTTCGGGCTGAGGAGGGGCTGGGAAGGCGGGAAAAATGGAAAGGCCTCGCCTGTCCGGGAAGGACCTATAGGAGTGCAGCGGGGCGCGGCGCGGCCCCTGAGTGGCCGAGATGGCGGGGGGCGGGGCAAGGGCGGCCTTCCCTGCTGGTCGGCCCGCGAATCCTGGTGCTGCGACTGCCGCGAAGACCCCCAACAGCCCGAGCTTCTGTGGGTTTCCTCAAGAGCTTTCCGCCATTGGCCAGTCTTTGAAAGCGCTGTAGGAACGGTAAAACATTAATATGAACTAAAAGTAGTATTACACTCACTTGACTGAAATTTTAAGTGAAAACTGAGCTCAGCGTGGTTGTGGTGAAAAAAAAAAGGACTTTGGAAATCAAATACAGAATTTAATAAGCATCGCATTTATTGAGCCCTCACTAAGTGCTAGGGACTGAGCTAAATTTTTGACATGCATTGTAATAACCATAATGCTAAGATAGCATTGCCAGATAAGACGAGTGTCCAATTAAATCAGAATTTCAGATAAATGCAGAATCTTTTTTTAATAAGAATGTTTCATTTGGGGATACACTTCCTGGTTTGTTTTGGTTTTTGGTAAATCTGCAAACCCTATCCTAACTCTTACAAATTCCCACTTTACAGATAAGGAACCCGAGGCTTAGAAAAATAACCTGACAAATATAAGGTAAGTGGCAGAACTAAGGCTCCATTTTACTAAAATTATGATCTTGACCACTAAATTTCTGAATATATCCACATCTTCAAAAACTAGAGTAGTGATACCTATCTCACAAATGTGCTGAATGGATTGAAAGAAAAGGTAAAGAAACCTGCATAGTGACTGATGCATAGGAGTTTCACATTCTTCCCGAACAATGCATGTTAACTGAATATTCACTATGTGCCAGGCCGTGAGTATAAAGTGAGCTGATTATTAAATAGGCTGCCTACTGACAATAAAACAAGTCAAGCTGTGGGGATGACAGAGACACAAAAGAATTATAGGCAACAGAATGTATAAAAAAAATGGAAGTGTTCAACCCTCATTCCACAGAGGAGAATGCTGTGTCTATATGATTTGTCCAGAATCACCTGCCAGTTCCATTTGTTGCTCATTACACTGTCCTGAAAGGCCTCATAACTGCAGTTAGAGTAAGAGGCCACAAGGCAAATATACAATAAGCTTCAGTTAAAGCAAGAGTTGTTTCATTTTCTCCCTTCAGAGCAATCACTGTTGCCCCCTCATGTGGACAAATGGAAAGAAGTTCCTGGAGGAAGAATGTAGTAGAAAGGGAGCAGAGGAAAGAAGGGAAAATTGAAAGGAGGTGGCTTCTGGAGAGCCACAGACTTCTCATACCTTAGTTTTGTTTTATCTCTGCTGGCCATTAGTGATCACTAATATAATATAGGTCTTCATCTCCTTACAGATTATTGTAATATCGTTCCTATTTTTCCTTCTAATCAATTTTAAACTCAGGTGACCAAACAGTCCTCCTCAACTCTAGAAAAATCACAGAATTTGAGATCTGGAATTAATATATACTTTAAAGATATGTAATCAGGAGCCCAATTTATCATGGTTGCAAAAACAAATCCAGAACAGTTATGTAGCTTGTTCAAGGTCAAATAATGAATGTACTGCACTGGCATCCACTAAGATCTTTCTGCTGGTCCTGAGAGGCTGCGAACATTTAAATAATCTCTGTGGATAAGACTCAGGTCCCTTAGGAAATCTGTCACACTTAGTTTAGAGTCTAGGGACACCTGTATACTTAAAGGCTATTTTAGAGGACTTTTAACACCTATCAAGGAAAAGCTCTGATTAAAACTAATGATGATTCAGAGTGAGTAGCTTTTCCTAGGAGTTTACAAGAGTAAAAAGGCTATGAAACCACAGTTTTAACTCTTTCAGAAAAAGAGGATCCTGGCATTTAAGATCTCTTGTGAAGTTTGTATTCTTCGTTCTCCAAAATACTTTAAAGGAACATATTCAATAATAAACTTCCCTGAAGACAAATGCATTAGAAATATATTGTTTGAAATGCCCTCATATTTAGACTGAAAACTGATAGGAGCTCAAATATACATGTTTACATTTTAAATGTATTTATCATTGTATTACATATATTTAACAAAGACTCTTTGATCATGACTTGGTGATTCTAAAAATGACCAGTTTACCAATAAGAAATGTAGACTTCAAGCCCTTTGAGGTCGTTGGCCATATCTTTTTCATTCTTATAGTCTAATTTCTTGGAACAGTTTTTGGGACAGAGGTGATAGTCAATAATGTTTGTTGATAAAAGAAGTAACTTTTCTCAAATTACAACATACCAGGACTAGGATACAATAGTCCTAAGTACTGGTCTGCCACTTGGGCTAAAAAGATGGAATTGTGAATGAAAGTCTATTTTTTTTTCCTTTGAGGATCTTTTTCAATGTACTTCCTAAGTGCAACTACCTGTATTTGATAGTACCTACATTTTTTTAAATTTTATTTATTTATTTAATTTATTTATTTTTAAAGATTTATTTATTTGAGTGAGAGAGAGCACAAGCCAGGGGGAGAGACAGAGGGAGAGGGAGAAACAGACTCCCTGCTGAGCAGGGAGCCCAACTTGGGGCTCAATCCCGAGACCCTGGGATTATGACCTGAGCTGAAGGCAGACGCTTAACTGGCTGAACCACCCAGGTGCCCCAGTACCTACATTTCTATAGGCCCTGTTATTGGTGGTAATTTGGACCAATTCTCTTACTAAGGACACCAGAAAAACTTAGCAAAATATAAAAAATATCAGCTTGAAGGTGGTAGAGAGCTAACAAGATAGAAATTATAGTCTATGACCTGAGGGTTGATGGAGGCCCAGTGAATCACTTATCCATTCCATAGAAGGTTGCTGAGAGTATGGCCAGGAATAGTGATTAGAGTTCAAGATGTGCAAAGGGGGAAGGAGGATGACTCGGTTGAAGTCCCCTTGCTTTGGACAAGGAATCCGAATGGTTATATCCTAGAAGTAAAGGGGAGACATCTCCATTTCAAATCATCTCAACCCTGAGACTGGATTAGGGTAATTCCTTTAAGCTAATGCCCCCAAGCCCTTGGCAGAAGCAAACTGAAATTTTCTCTGGAGTAAAGTAATATCATTCTAGGCCTCAGATCATTTGTACCATTTTGCAAAAACTATGTCTAGTACACAATGAAAAATAATCAGTCACACAAAGAAACAAACAAACAAAAAACCCAACAGAAACAACAAAGAACAAAAACCGAGCAAAAGGGATTCAGATAGTGAAATTATCAGACTCAGATTTTAAAATAACAATGCTTTCTATGTATAAATAAATAAAATGTAAGATTAAAAATTAAGACATATAACTAGAAACTTGAACAAAAGCATCTGATGAAAATTTTAGAACCAAAAAATTCACTAACTGAAAATAAGAACACAGGGCTGGGTATAATAGCATATTAGTTACAAACAAAGATAGAATTTGTGAACTAGAAGATAGTTGAGAAGAAACTATGCAGAATGAGGCATAAGAAAAAGGATGGAAAACACAGAACACAGGGAAAGCACATAGAAGATATAGTGATGAAGTTTAATATGCATGTAGTTGGAATTCTGGAAGGAAAGGAAAGATAGTATTGGGCAGAAATAATATCTGAATTAATGAATCCCCAGCAGGATATATAATGTATATATTTCTAGTTCATACAGTTGACACATAGATACATCATGATAAAATGCTAAAAGACGAAGAGAAAAATCTTAAGAACTAGAGAAAATAAGAGTTTATCTTTAAAGAAACAATAGATTTAGAATTGACTTTTAAGTAGAAGAGTCTGAAGCCAGAAAATGATGGCACAAAAACTTTAAAAGACTGAAAGCAAATATAAAAAGATAATTTTAGCGCGAGATGTTAACATATTCCGCTACTGATAAAATAGGCAGACAAAATATTCAGTGAGAACATAGTTTTGAACAACAATTAGCAAAGTTGATTATAAAGGCATATTGAGTACTTTTCCATAGTCCTTTACATATGAGTAAGTTTATCAGTTTATATTATTTCTGTTTTGGCTCATGAAGCTGGAAGGGACAGCTGAGGATCTGGAGCTTTCAGGGTGGTTAGAACCTATCCTTATGTTATAGATTTATTGACCACTGGGTAACTTTACCTCTATGTTAAGTTCTTACTATGTACCAGGCCCTATACATAGCACAGAGATAAAAGTTGTAGTTATAACTACAGACAAGCAAATCAAAATATAATGTGGCATTATAAGTGCACTGATAAAGCTTTACATAAGGAGCGGTGGGAACCAAGTCCTAATTCAGCCACAGGAGATAATGTCTGAGCAAAGTTTGCAGAAAGAAAAGGATATGGAGGAGAAGTGGCAATGTGGGGGTGGGGAGTGGAACCACACTGAGCAAAGCCTCAGCTATGTGAGAGCATGACTGTTCAGGTCAGAGAACTGTCAGTCATTTGGAATTTCTGGAGTATAAAAGGTTGCTCGAGTTAGGGGTTATCTAGTTGCAAGAAACAGAAACTCATGCCAGCTGGCTAAAGTAAAGGAGGAACGAATATAAAAATAGGCAGGGATTATGTGAGACAAAACTGTGGGAAGCACAGCCAATATTACACGAACCCTCCTTTCCCCTTTCTCTCTCTCA